CGCACAGCGATCACAGCGCCGCCGCCGAGGATCCCAGGCGATCGCCGGGGCAGAGCGCGCCCCAAAAGGGGGAAGCGATTGATCCTCGAGGCACCGCAGCGCGAAGGCGAGCGGGTGGGAGGGGGGGGAAGGCCTTCGTCCCGGCGAGTCCTCTTCCCGTCTCGCTCTGGGTAAGTGAAAGCTCGGTCCAATCATAATCGGTTGAAATTTAGTTAAAGTTGAAACGTAATTATGACGCATTCTCTGTCCCCACCGTTGTAAGCGTGCGTACGGTGAAATTAAGTGAAAAGACGGAAAATGGAAGCAGAAAACCTACTCGACGAGTATTTCTCTACACCTATAAAGGGATGCTGTCGAGGCAGGTTGAGGGACACACAAAATGTATAGAACCTTTTAAAAGAGCGTCTGCATGTTGAAGTGCCCTTGAAGGTCCATTCTGATGGATGCATCAGGTTCCTTCTCTGCTCCTTTATGCCCATATTAAGTCATTTCGTACATAATCATTTGAGCTTCTCTATACATGTTAGCACGCAAGATTGATTAAATTCGTTGATGAATTACCCCGAGATCCCCCATACTACGAACATCTTTGCTTGTGGTCCAGGGACTGATGACTTCTTTCCACCATGCATCGAGGTTCTATGGAGTATAGCTCAGGGTGCCTCTTTGGTCTCGGTAATTTTTTTCCAAGTGCCGAGATATTAAATTCTGTTGGGTTCGCTTAACATTTGGACCCGTATCCACGTCGCACCCCTGGGCGCAAAGGGTCACCTAAGAGCGGATCCAATTCCAATTCCGTCGAGATGCCGCGCTCACGTTCCTCTTCTTGGCTGGGGGATCCTCAAATCCAGCGGAATCCAATCTTTAGGTTTATGTTCTTGCATTTGGCTACAGACGAGAGTTTCACCCATTCGCGCAGATTGACCCCTTTTAGTTTCTGTCCTTGCATTAAACCTGCTGCCGTGCCCAAAATTCTCGACGCTATGCAACCACGTTTCGCAGGGCTTGGCAAACGAAGACTCAGAATATTAACCAGTATATCTTTCTACGGCAATAATTTTCATGAATTTCGCTTTTTAAATAGGCCAATACGTTCACAATGGTAAAATTACGGTGTGCTAAGGCAAAGCAAATAGGAAAAAAAAAATTGAAGACGAACTAAAGTCCAAGCTTGGAGTGGGTGTGGACTCCACGCCTTTCGCGCTGTTGTTGGGTACTTAACAACATTTATAAAAAATTTTCTCGCTTAAATTCCACCTTCCAGCTAGCCTTTTGTTTCGATTGGGGTGGTCAAAAAGGGTGGGCCAAAAATAATTTCACCCTCCTTCACTTGGTTGCTGCATTCGTACCAATTGCGTTGTGCTCATGCAATTTCGAGCATAAATAGTATTCCGGATCAAATGCAATTCATAAAAAAAATACCACCGATACCTTTTATTCAATAATCTTTTACCGCGCCAAGTAAAAATAGCGGTTGCACGCGCATTACTTTCCTTCGTACGGATAAAACATCTTTCGAATTTGGGGAGTTAGAGCAGATGGCACATTCAGCATCCTCAATATTCATGGATATGTTCAATCCTAACTTCATTTGTGGTTGTTGCCGTGTACTGTATTATTTTAAATAATTATTCATTAGAAAAAAGAAATTAAGGATGTTTATGCATGTTTAGCATGTTAACGTAATAATGCGTGCGCAACTGCGACTATTACCTAGCGCAGTAATATGAATTATCGTGAAACAACTATTTGTTGTATTTCATGGAAAATAAATGCAACAGATTAAGGAAGAGTGGTAATCTTCCAAAATGCACGAGAGCGTCTTAATTATGAAGAGTGCAGTAATCAAGTAAAAAAGGGTGACTTTTTTTAAAACCCACAAATACTTCTCATTTTCATCCAAGTGGCGATTGCTCCCAAATTATCGAGGTCCTGGAGTCTGACGGATGCCTAGCGGTAAAGAGCGGGTACCAGTACCAGAGCAGGTACCATCTTTGGCAGTACCAGTTCTCTGAAAATCGAGAAATCTTTCTCATTCTTGCTCTCCCGGCCGCATTCAAGCGCAGCATCTTCGCGAGTATTCTCATTCGAGAGGGAAATCAAATGAGACGGAAATATTTTCATATTGAGACTGAAAAACAACTGAGAGTCAGACCCAAACTTACCGCAGGATGCTCTGGCATTTGGACGTGCATTGCAGCCGATCCAAGTCAGTTGAAAGTTGCTGGCACCTGTAAGTTGTCTGTTCGATGGCTCGTCTGGATTCTCGAAGGAAGCCCAATGGAAATCCGTGGACATGGACGTGGACCCTTTTTCAGTTCTGGATGAACGGAGGCATAAAATAGGGTTATCTGGTGATCGAAGCATGCGATGTAGGCCTTGAATCCGGCGACCATGTACGCAGTGGAATGATGCGTAGGTGATCACGGAAATCATTGACCCGTGAAAGGAGCTCGAGGTACTCGTGAAAATTTTAGCCGGGTATCCAGGCAATTTGGCTAAATCATTGCACCCTTCTGAATAAGTAAACAACTGTATCCGATTGTATCCTTTTCAGCATGGTTAATAAGAAATGAAGTGGCAATGCTCGCCGCGAACGGTAGACCCGCACCGATTCAAGCACTTAACGAGCCGCAGTTTTCCGTTCAGTCGCAGTTTTTGTCCTCGTGGTACTACCTCGCCTTGGGACCGCATTGCTGGTATTGTCTTTTCGCTACCCGGTTTTTAACCAATTCCTTGGAAAAAGCAGCTCTGCGGATGCTACGGGAGAGGGCGTAATGAGCCACCTCACATCCCTAATTCTACGGTATTTTGATGCTTAATTAAGATGACAGAATCGTCCTTCTTTTCCGTTGGGTGGTCTAACATTCAGTTGACAACGCCTGAATTTATTCGGTGCTCTTTCCTGTAATAGTTTCCAATATAAGACCTTCCTTGTTGTATCTCGTTCAATCTCAACATGTTGGAATATGGAGGCTCGAAATCATGGAAAAGATAGGGGTGAAAAAAAAAGATAATTTTTGGAGAGATGCAAAGGTAGCGTAGGTGAGGACGTTACCTTTCAACTGAAGCATATTGACAGCCAAAACTGTCCCAATTTGGCTAATTTATTTGCATACTTTTATTTAGAGTGAAAATTTGACACAATCAATTCACACCTAAAGATTGTCTTCAATATTCCAGAACCTCCACAACATCAAAGATCATGATAGCACCTCTTGATATTTATAGTATGGGGAAGAAAGCAGAGAAAGGGAAGATGGAGAAAGGCCATCTGGAATTACTTTCAACCATGGATTATGGCATCCCTGGATTTTCTCAGCTTTTCGGGTTCATACCTGCACATCCTACCAAGCGAATCCTGTGGGCCACTATTTTCCTTTTGTGCCTGTCCATCACCGTCTACCAGGTAAACCCACGTCTCAAAACGTTGCCACAAATTTTTCGTTATTTATCCATTCATATTCCATTGAGGAAAATTTCCGGTTTACAGGTGACATCATTCTTCAGTGAGTATGCATCCTGGCCAGTGACAAAGAAATTCGATTGGGCTTACCAAGGAACGGCTCCGTTTCCTTCCATCACGCTGTGCAATGAAAACAGCTTCAAACCAAAGGTGACTTTCAACATCTATTACGTTCAACAACAGTTGCTCAGGTGAAGATACGAAATTTTGTTTGATAGGTGGTGAAAGAATATTTAAAGTCGGGAGTGGTGATGTCATCTTACCCGATCAAAGACTGGGACTTTAAACATTTTAAGGACGGTCAAGAAATCCTGAATGCAATCAACAGGAGCTTCTTACACCTGGAAGACGCCCTTCAGGGATGCCTACTATCTGGGAAACCTTGCTCGGATGGTTTCTGATGCACATATATATTTCTGCCTGTTTTTCAGATTTTTTCCCTTCAACAGAGGAATATTTTTATGCAGTGGGATGGTGGACAGAGAAAGTCACGGAATCCCAAGGTCTCTGCCATACCTTCCAACCAGACCCAAATAAGCCCATGCCGACGGGAGGAGGCAGGCTGAAGGGCTATATTTTGAATTTCACTGATAGTGGTGACTGGTTCTGCGATTCCAAGGATCCCATCTGTGGTCATGGTAAGATATGATTAATTAAAATAATTAGCGAGATCATAGGTGAGGAGATTTGAGCTGAAATTGGAGATAAGAGAAACTATGCACGTGTCGCCATCAGCTTTTCACGTGGATGAATTTACAAATTGAAAACTTATTTTGCATTTTATGGCTTTCAGGAAAAAATGATTACTCGTATTTGACCCAATTGAATCTGACAAAAGGCATAACGTGTGATTGCAGTGCAAGACAGCGGGTGGCAGATCTTCCTGAACGAGGGGATGCACACGGACAGAGATGCCGTGTGGAACGACGAGGTGATCCAACTGGCATCAGGAGAAACGAGGCGGTATCGGGTCTTAACGACTGAAGAGACCCTCCTCAACAGGCCGGGGTTTCCATGTTTCGATAGGAACAATTTCAGCACTACATTGAATGTGAGTGGATATATAATAATGAGTGGATATATAATGCATAGAAAAAATGGTAGTATTCATTCATTTCACAGGATTGAATTTAGTAATCGAGACAAGAATATGGTGAGTCATTAAACAGAGCATCACATCCACAGCATAAGATAACGCTGATTTGATGAGATTACCTTCCCAGAGAAGGAGATGAGGGGACTCAAGATGCCCGTCCATCTGTATATCTCTAAGTACTTCAGACTACGGTCATGCAGCGAAAATGAGAGAACTCAAAGAAACGTTCGCGTAGCAAGCCTCTTACTTTATGCATTTGACTTCTACGAGTTCGCTCACTTTCTGGATATGACAGTTGCCTGTAGCACGTTTGCTGCATTTATCTTCTGCATATTTCTGATGTCACAGGCTATGTATTGATACATGCTGCACCATCCTACTTGAACAAATTGACCTTGGCCTTACAGTGCTTGGAGACGTGCCTCTATCGCAACATCCTTGGGCTGGCCAATGTGACGTGCTGGCCCTACTGGATGCCGACCCTGGCTGACTTTCGCCCGAGACCCTGTGGCACGGAACAGGAATATCAAAGGATTTGGCTCGTGTCTGGGAAGCTACTCGAATCGGACATTGCTCAGAATGATCTCATCGACGTACAGGAATCAGAATCTGCTGTTTATCCTAGAGAGCTTAACTACAGGGTGTCTCATAAAGTTTAAAGCCACAAGACATTCTTTTTCCTGCCGTATTCTAATTCAAAATATAAATTTATTCAAGCAGCTGAAAGCTCAGGGAAAGATTAACCTATCTCTCCCTGAAAGTCGAATAAAATATAACTAATTCGGAAGAAATACATTTAAAATCAAAAGGAACCTTGCTAAAATTTACTGACGCTAGTTCCCAAAAGCCTTTCCGATTATTCAAAATAAAAGTAATTAAATACGCTAGTACTCTATGCTTCCTGATGAATTTAGGAATTCTGCATAGTGGTGCAGGTTGTTGCGCTTTTATTAGGAATGTATTAAAAATGTTGCATTGAACGCAGGAAGGACTTTCTAACCTGGGTCAACGCGCATAGGAATTCCAATCGAACACAGTACATGCATACAGTACTTTTATTCACGAGCTGGTTTCAATGAGCAATTATGCCATTCTCGACGCAAGTCCTGTCCCGTCCGCTAAGACAACCATAGGGGGACGCCATAACACCGAAGTCAATCTCTAAAAAGTTACAAACCAGAGTCAAGCCTGGAATCGTAAAGGAGTTCCTCTTCAACATTACTTTCAGTGAAGAGTGACAGTGAAAGTGACGAAATTGGTGTGAGCAAATTTTCACTCTCATATCTTGATTCAGAAATAATCCACTTTTAAGCACACGAGATCTTGGCCTTTTTTCTGTTAAACTGCAACGGTAATATTTTTGAAGTTCGAGGTAGAACACAAAAAAATTAAATCTTAAAGTTTTAATTCTTTCAGACACCCTGTACAAAAATAAATAAAAAAGCCGAGACGTCCGCCATATCGAACAAATCAGTGCCAAGTTTCTTGTCTCTATAAAGGAGGGTGACGACAAGCTGCCTCGGCCAGAGGAGATCCTGCAGAAGGAGTGCAAATACTGCGGTCGTGCATGCCACAGGAAAGATTACGTCCCGGTTGCGAGAAACGGTGCCACCATTTCGTCAGGGGGAGAGATCATATGCTCTCAAGGATGTCACGGATCGCTTCGACATCCATCGGTTCTTGGGTGTCAACTCGATCAAACGCCGTCTCGGAGATACACCTCACACAATAACCAAATTTCAGTTCATGAAAAGTTCGTTTTTCATCATGAAGGTTGTCCCATCTGAGTTCCAGCATTCACATCGAGTTAGGAATTTCCATATTTTCAAGTTGTGAAACTTTGTGCAATCTGTAAATCCATGTGATGCCAGCGTGTTTATTTTGCCCGAAGAGCAAGCAAACTTGCAATGGTCTCGCCTTCGGCTCTCCACTATCCAGTAAAATAATTATTTAATTTGAAAGATCTGTTTTTGACACGCACACCTACCAGTCAAAATACTATTTGCGTTAAAGGTTATTTTTTTCCCATTGTGGCGTCAAGTTACTTCTGCTCATGATACCTCACTGGAGCCTGTTAGCTACAATAAACAAACGAGATTCTTATTTCCCCTCCAAAAAAGTCCCCTTGTTATTTTTCCTTTATACAGTGCCTATTATAATAAGAATCATTTTCCTCAATGAAATATTTTAAACTTACCCATTCCCTCACACCAAAAAGTGTCTCTAGGATGCAGTACCCAAATCGTACGATCTATTCTGAACTCAATGTTCTGAAAACTACATTTGCCAAAATTAATATTTCTACGTGATCCGTTTCACTACAGCGAAAATACATCGGACAAACAGTCCTGCAAAAGAAATATGTCCCCAGGGGATGTACCCCAAATGTGGAATGTTTCATAAAATGATCGGCCTAATAAAACTTCTGTACCATGTTTCAGCTTTCTACAGCTGCCCAAATCGGTGGAGTTAAGAAATGTTTATTGGAAAAGTCCCTCATAAAAAAATTTGAATCCGAAGGGGATGGACCTCAAAAGTAAGGTTTTCCTTGAAATCAAATTTCCTAAAACTAAATGTTTACGGAATTTCAGATTTTTTTCATTTGACTGTTCACGGGGACAAAAAAAAACTTTTTCAGAAACGTTTCCCCAAAAAAGTATGTACCCAGCAGTGGCGGCTCGTGATATTTAGCGCTAGTGCTTTGTCTTTGGAGAGGGGTAGGCAGGGAAGGGCACTGCCTCTATAGACGAGCCGCTAACGCTAAATATCACGCGCCGCCACTGACAACCAGTGAATGTATTCTAAATGTATGACTTTTTCCTTAAATCTACATCTCAACAGGTTCCCATGTATCAAGTTTCAGCTGTCGATGTCTCTCTGTTTCGTTGGAATAAATTTTTTAAATTGAAATATGTCTTCCCTCCAAGATATCGTGCGCTGAGAGGATGTACCTAAAAAAATTGAAAGTACAGCCTCTCTCCCATTTGCGTCGGGGATGCGTTCCTAGAAACGGCGACTTAAATCAAAACGACGTAAATCGTAAATGTTTTTCCCATCGACTTTGTGTTATGATGGGGGATGCGTCCCCGGGGTTAAATTTTCGGACTCGCTAACCTAACTTAAGCCTCACTTAACTAAATATTAGAGACAAAAATTAAACAAATGGTTAAGGGTAGAGTAAAGATTTCTGCAAAAAAATGAGAAAGAATATCGCTCGAAGCTGACTGCGCGGGCCGACGCGAGAGACTGAGGCAGCGTTGGGGCTCCGTTGGGGTACCATGCGGTCGACGTTGCCGTCGTTTCGAGTCGCGCTGACGGGCCGACGTTTTTGCCGCTCGACTCAAAATGACGTTATATCGGACAGAAGCGACGTTAAACGAAGTTGTTTCCCTATTAGTTGACAACGTTATAGTGAAACAACGCAAATCGGAACGACGTAAATAGGAGAATGCCTGTATACTAAAATCGGTAATCCAATCACTACACGCTTACTAAATTTCAGCTTTTTGTATATTTACATATTGTACATATTTGCCCATTTCGCTGGCGTGAAAATGTCTTTGGGAAAAAAATCCCGTCCAAAAAAGTGCGTCTTGAAGGTATATATGTCGTAGGGTGTTGTGGAATTCAGGGGGATTTCGAATCTCCCTAAGGAGAGACAGGATTCCACTAAACCCGCGGGTTTAGTGGAATCTCTGGCCATCTCGACCTAAAGCACGTATCGGTTGATTAAATTGATTAAATCAGACCTAAGGATGGGTGCTTACTGAAGAAGCACAGGACACATGAAGCACAGTTATGAAGGTGTCACCAAGCTGCATTTTTGCAAGCAAGAAGTGAAGACATCAGCCAAAGTGTACCAGGAAGAAGTCTTAGAGTAGTCAGTGAAGCCTCTCAGCTAAACAATGTTCAATGGGGGCAACTGGATCTTCCAGCAAGATTCCGAACCTGCTAACAAGGTTAGGACAACGCAGGAATGCAGAAACCAGCAATGTCCCCGAGTTCATCAAGGCCTCCGATTAGCCATCTGGGAACCCAATGAACAACAAATTGTGGGCAGAGTTGGAGCTGAAGGCCAACCACAGAAGACATCCAAATATTGAAAGTCTCAAGCGAGCCCTTGCAGANTGTGGGCAGAGTTGGAGCTGAAGGCCAACCACAGAAGACATCCAAATATTGAAAGTCTCAAGCGAGCCCTTGCAGAATCAGCAACCAATATCCAATGGAAGTGGTGCGTACTGCGATGGATGAGTGGTCTGATTGTTTAAAGTCATGTGTGGCCAGGGGTGGACATTTTGAATAATGTTTCTGTAATATGATAGTAATTATGTAGGGAAATAAATGCTGTTAGCAAATACAGCGTATGTTTTATATAAAAAGAGTTGTTACAAAAAACCCATGTAACAGTATTTATGGCAGGACTAGGTACATAACGAATGGGAACTTTTGCGAATTCAACACCATAACAGTTATTTGTTCGCCAATATTCACCTTCATTTCACCTTTCTATGTCATCCCGATACTGCTGCCTCAAAAAAAAATTAGGAAAACTTCCATCTCTTCCCCCCCCCCCCCTTCCTGCCTGCAGTGCCTGCAGGGAATTTATGTTAAAATTTAGATTTTTCTCGAATTTAGCATCTCAACAGGTTCTTAAACTATCTCGGCGACCTTATCTGGAACTACTAGCACGGAAATCTTGAAAGCATGGATGGACCTACTTAGCATAGAATTTAAAGTCCTGTCGTTGTAGTGGTTTATATTCTCATAAACTAGGATAAACTAGGATCCTCATAAAAGTGCCATGGCTTTAAAAGAGTCGGTGCCACTCACATTACCGATACAGAAATGCCATATATTTTAAATGACAATGAGGATTTACCGAATTTGAAAACATCGAATATTCATGAGGCCGAGAAAATTTCAACTGTATGAGAACACCGAATGATGAGCAAATGATCATTTATGAGCTGGTCGTCCACTTTAGTTTCAATTTTCATCCGCAATTTGGTCCTCATTCGAGTTCTGGTCACAAACATCATTAGTCACTCCCGAACCTGATTGATGCTTCACACAACATATTGGCATAACCCTTCAAAATTATTGGGACACAAAGACATTAAAAACTTGTCAGTGCATACTATCAATAATACTATTCCAACCCTCAGTTGAGCATTCGGCGATTGTCTTTCAAGCTTAAAACAGAATTGGTGCCTCGGTTCATTGAGCATCACCAAATTTCCTTCAGCGACATCGATCACAGGCATTCTGCAGTCACCTATGATACTTATGATGCTGTTAATCCTTCGAAAATTTATCGGGAAGTTTCAAAGCATTCCATTAAATATTAGAGAATAAACTAATTTGTTGGTTCATTCTGGAGTTCCTTCATGAGCTTCTGTGGGTGTTTTCTTCCCAGTATGATACCCATGTATAACGACTGAAAAGTGGGGGAGATGGAATCCCAGAAACTCACAGAATACTTTTGCGGCAGTTGAAACCTTTCCTTTTTTGGCTCCCATCCTCCCAGCCAATGACGGGAGACTTTGGATCATAAAAACTTGACCATCCCGCCAACCTTCATTGGGGAACAGTGGCCAACGAAAACGTGAAAGCCTCGACTACATGATGAGAACAACGTATCAGGTCCTAAAATAAATTT